GTGGACGAGGCCATCAAAGAGGACTTGAAGTGGTCCCGCTCCGTGGAGGACCTCACCAGCGCTTCCGTGGGGCTCACCTCCATCGAGGAGCGGATCCTCCGCATCACCGGCTCCTACGGCTACCAGCCCTGGGCCGCCAGCTACAAACGTGAGTCCCCGGCACGTGCGGGCGTGGGGCAGCGAGGAGGGGGACGAGCACCGGGGCCTTGCGTGGGGGCCACCACGGCCCAGAGCCGGCTGATGAGTGTGGGTTCGAGGGGCTGATCGCTTTACCCGTGGAAAAAGCTCGCTCTGTGGAAGTGCTCTCACTCCCTGCGAAGAATTCTGTGCCCGTGTTGCCTTAGTCCCTAGGCAGTCGCTGGCTTACAGGAGCATAGTGCTAAGAATCACGACAGCTAAATTCTGCTAAGAAAATAGGTCAAATATTTGTCTTAATGTTGCAGACACACTTGGTGATGCTGATTACCGTGTTTGTGACAGCTGTGTAAAAGCCCCAGCGCTTTCATGCACATGCTGTTTTCACAAGTAATATGTTATCAGTGTGTCTTTCCGTTGTTTTGGGGGTCTGTCAGATTTTCACAGCACTTGATCTGAGCGTTATGCCTTTTCCTATGTCAAGTGGAACTGGTTCTTCCATATGCCTCCACTTGAGAAAGAAACTTCCTATGATACCAATATGAAGAGAGACATAGCTGTATTCCTCCATATATGTGATTTACAAAGGAAGCGATACCTTGAGTGGTTGTGATATATCAACTAGTATTTTTGTGTGTAACCCCCTCTTTCTTGTCCATCTTTCATCACCACAATGGCGATTGCATGAATTAACAAGTTCTAAGAATAATTTACCAATTAACTGAAGTCATAAAAATATTTTGGTTGTCTTAATGTCATTTGTAACATCACAGGGGTTTTTGTTGTAAAAAGGATTCTGCTGTAACAGAAATCATTGCTTTGCTGGGAAGAGTGGCCCTGATGAAGTGATTGTTTACACTTAATACTTAGGAAAAGTACAACATGAAAACATTCTGAAATGTTTACTTGTGGATTATCTGTTTGGCAGTGTGCTTAATAATGGAAGGGATGATACAAGAAAGCGTGGTACACAGTACTAGTTCAGTTTTTCTGTGAGGAAGAGCCACTCCTGATTGCCTGATAATAGGACTTTACTAATAAATATTCCAAGACTTCTTCAGTAAGAGCCTTTTATTTTTCTCGGTTGCGATTATGACAGAAATATCTGATATTTGCTACTTTACTCACAGGGGGTATGGGATTTCTCTAAGAGCAATTCCATTGCCTGGATTGGGACCATTCTTGAGACTAAAGCTTATTCAGGTCAGTTTTCAGGAGCAGATCATATGCTGATGCCAGACTGAATTGGATGTTAGTGCTTCTATCTGACAGGGTGACTAACAAGTCCAGCTGAAGTCGCCCTGAGCTGCTATGGCTGAATCTTCTGAAATAATAAAGGTCATGCTGGATCCTCAATTATAACCTATTTGTTGACATTTATAACTGTGTCTGAAAAAGTTAATTGCAAGCCTAAGCCTGCTATTCTAGTTATATTCTCTCGTAACTCATTCTGAATAACAAAATTACATACTTGAGTTGTAATGGTGGGGGATAAATATACAAAGTGTCTGAGTTTCATAAATGTATGTCTAAAAATAATAGGTTGTGTGAAGTCATTGCCAATTTAAAATCTGAGTTGCTAGGAATGTAGAAGAGCACGCAGAAGACAAGACCCATCTCTCTAGCTGGTATAATATGGCATGGCTGAAGCAGAGCTGTGTTGATCTGCATCAGCTGAATAGCTGACTGAATGCATGTAAATGAGGTAGATCATCAAAAGTGGGAAGTCAACTTTGTAACAGCTACTTTGAAGCCTCTTTGAATACTCCTTCAAGCTGGACTTATGCCCAGTTTTAGGATATGGACTTTCCTTGTGCCTTTCCAGTTAGAAGATTTAATTGGCCCAAGAACTGTGAACAAATGATTTCTATTAAGTTCAAATTGCACCCTGGGTACTTTTTGTCATCTTATTGTGCATGCTTGTAGACATTTAGGTGCTTTTGGCACTATGAGTATAATTATGGGGTGCATTAATAATGGACCTGCTTTCTGGAAAATAAGTCCGTAATCTAGTCTGATCTAGATTTGGTCTCTCTCAGTGACACTCTTTTTATTGTAACTAAATCACCTGTAGGGCTGGATCTGTTTTTTTCACACTTGAGTGTATTCCTCTCATGCTTTGTTTTGGCTGTTTTTATATATATGTATGTATGTATAAAATTGAGACATTCAGAAAGCTTTTGCTAGTTTTTTTAACAAAACTCCATGAGGGAAACTACCAGAGATAATCAAAGATAGTGTTGCCATGACCCCAAAACTTGCTTGGAGACTAGTTTTGTTGTGGTAGAAAACTGACCATTTAAAACATACTGGGATACCCCAAGGTTATGTACCAACTCCAGTATTTAATATATTTATAAATTTAGATGGAAAGAGGGGAGGAAGAAGTGAAAATCTGCTGAAGACACAAACTGATACGGATTGGACAGAATGAGAAAAGACTCGTCATTACTCTCAGGAGACCTGACCCAGCCAGGTGAATAGCCCAAATGTCAACAAATGACATTCAGTTATCACAAACAGAAGCCTCGTGTTTCCTGAAAATGCTGAAATTACCTGCAAAATTTCACATCGTTACATCAGCTGCTGAGAGGGAATAGTCTGGGACTGTACACAGCTCAGGAAAGACCTCTGCTGTTTGACTGCACTTGCAAACCAGATTTTAGGAACTGGAATAATGTAACATACTTCTGTGTTACGATGCCTTCAAAAAATTTAGTGGTACAGCCTAGTGAAATACTGTGTAATATTGGTTATCTCCTCTCAAAACAGATTACAGAAGACTCTGAGATGAGTAAGGAGAAAGAGTACAGACAATCTGTAAAGAGTCTCAAGAGTTTGGCTGTTTACCTTAAAGAGGTTGAAACAAAAGCATGGAAAGTACTGGCACATATTGCTCAGGCAGATAGAGAGTTTTTCTTCTTGTTGTGACATAAGAGAAAAACAGGTGGACAGTCAATGAAGCTGAAAAGCCATCAATTAAAAACTGATAGAAAAAGAAATAATTTTTAAGAAAACATGTAATTTGTTCTTGAGATCAAGAATTCAAGGGCTTGTAATTGATAGCAGTGACAAGATCTAGAACTGTAATAAGTTGGGAAAAATATTGGAAAGCATATTAAACTTAATTATTCAGAATTCAAATTAGCCCCTCTTAGGCTGGGAGAGGGCTTCTTCTTGAGGGGTTCTTGCACTTTCCTCTGTAGCATCTGCCCACCTCCAGAAAGAGGATAGGAGTGTGTCCTGATCCAATCTGGCAGTTCTTACTTTTCTGAAATTCTCACTATTCATTTTCAGGGTAACTAATTATGTGAATAACTGCTCTCCGGTCTAAATCAAATATTCATATTTGTCCCATGGGGACTATTTTGCAGCATCTGATTTGATTTCTTAAATGCAAAGGCAGAGGGGAAGAAACACAAGGAAGATGCAGTCAGATTGTAGAATCATACTCTGATGCAGCTACATCAATAACAGAGCTCAATATTTGTGAAATCCTAGTTATCAACAAGAGGTATGTTAATTGACTTATTTTTTTTTAATTAACACATAGGGATCAAAGAATTCAATTTAAAAAAACCCACAAAACACCACAAAATTTGTAGATCCCAGCGACAGCCTTTTTGTTGTATGGAGATCAAACCGTTGTTAGGGCTGTATTAGCAGTGCTGTTCTCTTCCATGAAGGTTAAGTAAATTACCATGATTTCTGCCTCTAAAAGCCTGTGATGTCAGTGTAGTAGCAGAGACAAGTTTGGAGGTGAACAGCCATATTTTAAGTTTCCATTTCCCACCATTATCAGTAGGAATTAGGTTTCTAAATATTTTCAGAAGTATAGTCCCTAGGAGCTTTTCTGTACTTGAGAAATACAGGTGTCGCTAAACTCTTGAACTGTCTTGCTGATCTGTGTGGAAGACTTGTTTATCTTAATTATTGTAGCAATTGCCAGGGTGCTTGTTTCCACCTGAAATGTGCACAGCTAGCACCTTGCCAAACATTCATTTTTCTCTACATTAACTAGGTCTATTTTGTGGTGATTCAATATCACAGTCTGTCATTATGTGATTAGTATTTTAAATACATTCATGTGGGCTTGCGCCAGCTATCTCTGCTTTGCAATCTTTGCCTCTTCCTACAGATCACCCGCTTCTACTCCTCGTTTAAGATTAGGGTCTTTCTTCTAAAGCAGGGACTTTCAAATATCCTTAGCATGTGTTCCTAAATACAGACTTGTTATGGACAAATCAGGATTATATGGGTCCCTCCCTCCTTTTAGATGCCCAAAATACCACCTGGCCTTCCACTTTTGTTCACTTACCTTCTTTGTGTGCTTACAGATGTTACTCTACCTGCCGAAAGAATATTAAGAGAATAATATGTACTTTTAAGTCCTCTGAGTTCTATTTAGTAGGAGTTGACCGCAGTCTGTGATTCATGGCTTGTGAACATACATTTCTGTGAGACTTTGACCTTGTGAATAATTCCAGGTTGTTCCAGTGATGACTTTTAAGTGGCATGCTGTTGTTCAGGTGAAAGGGAAAGTTTGTGTCCAGTAACTGAAGTTCTCTGGCTCTGCTCCTCCCTACTACTTTAAATATTAGTTTCCTATTTTTAATGTTTCTTCATAGTTATTTCAACAATAAGAAAATAAACCATACAGTTTCAACGCCCAGAATTTCAATGTAGTACTCATCCAGCACGTAGCACAGTAGTTCTTGACCTGGACATGGAATTTAAGTGCTATCACCAATATAAGTAACATATTGGCACACATTGGCTTACAAATATCCTGAACATTGCTCAGAAAGCATAATCATCTGAGTATGAAAATGACCCAGTTATTGAACTTTGATAGCCTTTCAAGGTAGTAGTTTAGTGTTGGTTTTAGTTAATTAAAAGTATGAGCATTGTATCTGTATAAATATTGGAGTATCAGTTATACAGCTAAAGACCAGTGTTTCCAGCTGACCCCCAGTGTTCCTCCTCGTGATCTGCTTTTCATGTGCCATTGAA